TAGCCCATACTCCCTTCCCATAGCTCATGGTAAGCCTTACCCTACAAATAGGAGACATAGCAAGAGTAAGTAATGAGAGATTAATGTAAACTGGGATTTACAATCCTCCCTACTGAAGAGGGGATTATGTAAACTTAATTTACGTTCTCTAGAGACCTGGAGAACAAGGGAGGATATAATTGAAGTTTATAAATGATAAAGGGGATATAACAAAGGAATATTAGTAAGGTGATAATATGTCAACAGAAAACAGAACACCAGACATTGATTTCAAATTGATTTCAATGATTCAATGGTTTCAAGTTGAGATTTAGAAGTCGCCTGGGTATATTCTGACGTGGAAATGTATGGGAGGGGGGGCGGGGGAATTATCAGAAGTGTCAAGCCATAACGACTATGTAGCACTGGGATAAGGATTTGGGATGGGTCGGGGGGAAGGAATGGTCCCCAATCACTTGGATGGTCGGGGATTGAACGCCGATCTGCATAAAGGATTGTGACACATTATTGGCTAACATGATACTCCGGCACGCTACCTAGTGGATCAGTCACTGAGTGGATCAGTCACTGAGTGGATCAGTCAGTAACTGATCCACTCTCAGTGAATGACTGAGTCTCTGCTCAAAGCATCCTTATAGAGTCAATCTCAGAGATTAAACATTTGCTTCAGTTTTCCACACCTGGTAACCTGGTGCCAACCCCTAGGTCTATATCCAAGGGCCACTCCCCGCCCCTGTGCCAGATAAGTCCACTACGGGCTCACCATAGCCCGTGCTACTTGCCCCGCTCCTGTGCCAGGTAAGTCCACTACGGGCTCACCATAGCCCGTGCTACTTGGAACTTGTTCCGAGTAGCTTAATCTATAACAACAACAACCCCACCCCGGCCTCTCCAGCATCTATTCCACAACCCATAACTTAATCTTTCAAACTTTCAAACTCAAGTTATCCTAAGTTATCTTCTTGCCTCGGGACATTCACTTCATGTTAGGTAAAACACACTTTTTTGTTTGTTTGTGTCTACAACGATTGTTTCTTCTTGTAGTGTGTGTTTGTATTTACTATTTGTGTCTGGAGAATCGAGCTATTAGCTCTTGGGCCCCGCCTTTCAATCCAATCTATTATGTCTACTACATATATTTCTAACACACACATTGATTGGTGGCCTCGCGGCTGAGTGGACAGCGATCTGGGGTCGAAGTCCTAAAGGCCCGGGTTCAATCCTTGGCAGAGGCAGAAACAAATGGGCAGAGTTTCTTTCACACTGGTTCATCTATTCACCTAGCAGTAAATAGGTACCTGGGAGTTTGACAGCTGCTACGGGCTGCTTCCTGGGAATGTGTGTGAGTGTGTGACAGTGAAGCCCTCAATGTAACAGTGAAGCCCTCAATGAAACAGTGAAGCCCTCAGTGTGACAGTGAAGCCCTCAGTGTGACAGAGAAGCCCTCAGTGTGACAGAGAAGCCCTCAGTGTGACAGAGAAGCCCTCAGTGTGACAGTGAAGCCCTCAATGTAACAGTGAAGCCCTCAGTGTGACAGTGAAGCCCTCGATGTAACAGTGAAGCCCTCAATGTAACAGTAAAGCCCTCAATGTAACAGTGAAGCCCTCAGTGTGACAGTGAAGCCCTCAATGTAACAGTGAAGCCCTCAGTGTGACAGTGAAGCCCTCAGTGTGACAGTGAAGCCCTCAATGTAACAGTGAAGCCCTCAGTGTGACAGTGAAGCCCTCAGTGTGACAGTGAAGCCCTCAATGTAACAGTGAAGCCCTCAATGTAACAGTGAAGCCCTCAGTGTGACAGTGAAGCCCTCAATGTAACAGTGAAGCCCTCAATGTAACAGTGAAGCCCTCAATGTAACAGTGAAGCCCTCAATGTAACAGTGAAGCCCTCAATGTAACAGTGAAGCCCTCAATGTAACAGTGAAGCCCTCAATGTAACAGTGAAGCCCTCAGAGTGAGAGTGAAGCCCCTCAGCGTGTTGCACCTTGTGTACAAGCGCAAGAGATCAATTCCACAAGTCCTTTCCTCGGCTCTCTGGTCATTGAGGGAGGCTTACGGCCCTCTTGTTGTGTCGAAGGTGAGAGGGGAGGCTAGGAGAGGGGAGGCTAGGAGAGGGGAGGCTAGGAGAGATAGGTGAGAGGGGTGAGAGTGAGGGACACTGTTGATGTAGCGAAGAGAAGGAGAGAATAAAATAGGGAGCAACATTATCACTAAAGACGAATGACCGTGAGAAGGAAGGTATGAGAGTGATAATAAGGGACAGGTGTGTGGTGAGTAAGGGACAGGCGGCCCGGGCCACACCACTGGTGTGTAGCAGCATGACAGGCGGCCCGGGCCACACCACTGGTGTGTCACAGCATGACAGGCGGCCCGGGTCACACCACTGGTGTGTAGCAGCATGACAGGCGGCCCGGGCCACACCACTGGTGTTTCAGAGGCTACAATACGCTTCACTCAACAATCGAGAAGCACTAAATCCCCCAACACGGCCTCGCTCAACCATCTTCACGTTCCTCGCTGACAGTCATTTGTTTCCCCCGTGTCTTTATGGTATTGGATCCCCTCAATCACCGATAAAGAAGACTCGCAACACACTCCTGGCCTTCCACTTATTGGGTTTCCTCCTCCCCGTCCTCCTCGCACAATGATCCCACGTCCAAATTTCCGCCGCGACGGTAAACTCGGTCCCAAAATGGCGCCAAAACTCACTCATGCTCTCACTCCACAGTCATTTGTTGCCCCCTACAGCCATTACCACCTGTTCGTGTCGGCGTGGTGCGCGGTCTACGGGGACCGATTACCGGAGCGACGGGGTGTCGGGGCTTCACCGGGGGATTCGCTACATTCCGACACGTCCCATTGATATTTATCGTCCAGCGAACACGCGCCAGGCCGGGCACAGCCTCGCTCATCTCCACCGCCGTCACTACTATCACCTTTATCTCATTTGGTGCGCATCTTTGGGCCTTTTTATGCGGCTTTCAGTGTGAGGGCGTTTGTAGGTACCGGGGGGCAGGCGAGACGTGTTGCACTCAGGTATTTTACCACGTAAACACTTTTTACAAGTTCTTATGTTACATTGTTATTGTTGCAATGTTATTGTGTTTATTGTTTGGTGCGGGGATGGTGGTCCGTGGCGGGTGTTGTGCACTAGCTGCCCCAGCTCCTCACACACTTGCCACCTCTCCTCTAGTCTACATGTACTCGCCTATATCCGCTGGCAAAGCCACAGCTCCTGGATCCCGCCTCTCAGTCGCTGGTTGTGTGTTGTGATGGCTTCAGACACTCTTGCCTATTACAATACGTATTCTTGAAGTTGTGTGGAGCTTAACTACCTCTCATTTCAGCTCGTTCCACTTGCTACTCTCACACAGGAGTGCTTTGTTACCTCTCTATGGGTGTTCTGAGATTTAATGCCCCGCCTCCTCCTCCAGTGCCCTCTCCCACCCTCTCCCTCCTCCTCCTTCTCCCCTCCCATCTTTCCCTCCTCCTCCTCCTCGGCCAGCCATAATCTGGCCTTGTTAACGACCAATGAAGCCAACAATTGGGTGTTGGAGCAACACAAACAACCCTAACAAGACGTGCCTGTATCAGACAGGTTCAGAAGCGCTGAGATACGACAGCTTCACGCTTAAGGTGAAGTGTGTCGGTGAGGTGACTGTTGAAAGTCTCGCTGTAAGCTGATACATAACGAAGCTTCAGCTTCGTCTCGTCTTAGAGGACGGGAAGTGAGGCTCCCAGTCTTCTGGCTGTGTGAAGCTTGGTACCTAAGCTTTAGTTTACGCTACCTGGGTTTGTCTTGTGGGTTTGTTTATATATATATATATATATATATATATATATATATATATATATATATATATTTATATATATATATATATATATATATATATATATATATATATATATATACTCTGTCTTTGCAGATGTTGGACATGTGGGCAGGAGGCAGCAACACGGAGCTGTGAGGTCAGTTATGTGGGTGAGGGATAGGTACAAGCACCCACCTACACCCCACACCCCTCACCACCCACCTACACCCCACACCTACACCCTCACCACCCACCTACACCCCTCACCACCCACCTACACCCCTCTATAGCCTGGGAATGGCGTCAGTGTGGTGGCTCCCAACACACATAACCAGTTACGAAACCTATACATCTTTCCTCAATCATGGCGGCTTTGTTTACATGTATTAAACACTTTACGAGTTTAGACGCATCACAACCCAAGGTTATTATTGTTATAAGCAACCTCGTAGTGCTTCGGAGCTCATACAAGTTTTAATAAATGTAAACAACGGCATAATGTTTTAGGAAAGATCTATAGGTTTCGTAAATGGTTGCATCAGCGCCTCGTGGCCTCGGAGTGCGGCCAACACAGTGTGCAGGTTATGGAGAGTCTTCACCCAGGCAGAAAGAAAATTAACTCTGAATTAGGATAAAAAGACTAGCCAATACATCTCCATTTGCCGGACGTCTCGTTTAATTAAGCGCTGAAATCTCTGCCGCTAACATGAAATACCGCCAGGTGTGTTCTGTGGTGTGAGGGGGGCGGGGGGAGGTGTGAGGGAAGGTGGGCGGGTGTGAGGGAAGGTGGGGGAGGTGTGAGGGAGAGAGAGGGAGGAGGAGGATCAACCAGGCTGTTGGGGTTGGTGATGTATTTGGTGTTTTAACCAGGCCTCCTTGGCGAGTCTTGGGGTAACAAGGGCACGCTCCAGGCCTCACTCTCCTACATATCATTATTGTCTAATTACGCGTCAATTGATGACTTTTGTAGTGATATTTAGACCTATAACTCCAACCTCTCTCATAATAACAGTGAGTCAAAATAATAACAGTTGTAATATAATTATTGAGAGAGTATTAACAGCATAAGACAATACTTGTGTTAATAGCAATAATAATGGTTGTCAAGAGGTTGTGTTGACAGCGGCAGTCAACCATACCACACACGTGTATTACAGCAGGGAATATTGCCACCAGACCTGTCAAGTCTACCATGACACCTGTCAAGTCTACCACGAGACCTGTCAAGTCTACCACGAGACCTGCCATGTCTACCATGAGACCTGTCAAGTCTACCATGAGACCTGTCAAGTCTACCACGAGACCTGTCAAGTCTACCACGAGACCTGTCATGTCTACCATGAGACCTGTCAAGTCTACCACGAGACCTGTCAAGTCTACCACGAGACCTGTCATGTCTACCATGAGACCTGTCAAGTCTACCACGAGACCTGTCAAGTCTACCACGAGACCTGTCATGTCTACCATGAGACCTGTCATGTCTACCACGAGACCTGTCAAGTCTACCACGAGACCTGTCAAGTCTACCACGAGACCTGTCAAGTCTACCACGAGACCTGTCAAGTCTACCACGAGACCTGTCAAGTCTACCACGAGACCTGTCAAGTCTACCACGAGACCTGTCATGTCTACCATGAGACCTGTCATGTCTACCATGAGACCTGTCAAGTCTACCACGAGACCTGTCAAGTCTACCACGAGACCTGTCAAGTCTACCACGAGACCTGTCATGTCTACCACGAGACCTGTCAAGTCTACCACGAGACCTGTCAAGTCTACCACGAGACCTGTCAAGTCTACCACGAGACCTGTCAAGTCTACCACGAGACCTGTCAAGTCTACCACGAGACCTGTCAAGTCTACCACGAGACCTGTCAAGTCTACCACGAGACCTGCCATGTCTACCATGAGACCTGTCAAGTCTACCATGAGACCTGTCAAGTCTACCACGAGACCTGTCAAGTCTACCACGAGACCTGTCAAGTCTACCACGAGACCTGTCAAGTCTACCACGAGACCTGTCAAGTCTACCACGAGACCTGTCAAGTCTACCACGAGACCATGCCTCCTCTTCATCTTTCCCTGCCTCTACATATCGTATCCTGTCCTGCTGCCTACATATACTAATCCCGCAAGCACCAATAACAGAACAAGCTGGCTCCCCCGGGACAGCTGGCTCCCCCAGCCCCCGGGGCAGCTGGCTCCCCCAGCCCCCGGGGCAGCTGGCTCCCCCAGCCCCCGGGCCAGCTGGCTCCCCCAGCCCCCGGCGCACCTGGCTCCCCCAGCCCCCGGCGCACCTGGCTCCCCCAGCCCCCGGCGCACCTGGCTCCCCCAGCCCCCGGCGCACCTGGCTCCCCCAGCCCCCGGCGCACCTGGCTCCCCCAGCCCCCGGCGCACCTGGCTCCCCCAGCCCCCGGCGCACCTGGCTCCCCCAGCCCCCGGCGCACCTGGCTCCCCCAGCCCCCGGCGCACCTGGCTCCCCCAGCCCCCGGGGCAGCTGGCTCCCCCAGCCCCCGGGGCAGCTGGCTCCCCCCGCCCCCGGGGCAGCTGGCTCCCCCAGCCCCCGGGGCAGCTGGCTCCCCCAGCCCCCGGGGCAGCTGGCTCCCCCAGCCCCCGGGACAGCTGGCTCCCCCAGCCCCCGGGGCAGCTGGCTCCCCCAGCCCCCGGGGCAGCTGGCTCCCCCAGCCCCCGGGGCAGCTGGCTCCCCCAGCCCCCGGCGCAGCTGGCTCCCCCAGCCCCCGGCGCACCTGGCTCCCCCGGCCCCCGTGGGAGGATACATCTGGCTCCCACACTATAGATACCTTCACTCCGGGAAATTACAGTTCGGTAAAATTCGCGAGTAATCCATCTCATCCATCGGCGGGTGAGAGGGAGGCGGCCTTGTCGATCCATCTTCATCCAGATTTCATCTCCAGCGATGGCTGGGGACGGTGATATGGCCCAACCTGTTCCTCACTCTCTCTTATCGTCTCACTCTCTCATTTTCCACTTAACTGCACTGTTAAAACACATTAAATGTTCACTCACTCTGGTCGGTAGAGCGACGACCCTCATTCTTGCAAGATCGGTGTTCGATCCCCGATGGTTCAAGTGGTTTGGGGCACCATTCTTTTTTCCCCCGTCCCATCGCCAATCCTTATCCTGATCCCTTCCAAGTGCTATATAGTCGCAATGACTTGGTGCTTTCCCCTCATAACTCACTCTCTCCCTCCCTCATAACTCAGCTACTTCTCCTCATATCCCTTCTAAGTGTTATATAGTGAAACAGGCTTAGCGGTTATTTCTGAGAGGGTGAACTTGGTCATTGCTTCACCATCACCCTACACCATCACCCCTCACCATCACCCCTCACCATCACCCTTCACCATCACCATCACCCTTCACCATTCCAGCGCCAGTATACAGTCTTGTGTATAACATATATTTATACGGCCATTAACCCTAGAAAATATTAGTGCATTGTCGTGATGAATATAATTTCACTATTATCGTTTCTGTGCGAGAAGCATCAGTACTACTGAACCACTCTGTTCCACACTGTGCCCCTCTGTTCCACACTGTACCACTCTGTTCCATACTGTACAACTCTGTTCCATACTGTACCACACTGAAATTTTTTTTAATTTTGCCCCGTGGGGCGAGTTTATTGGGCAGCGCCATTTATCCTGTGAGTGGACACACCGCCATAGCAGCATGTACAACACTCCCCAATAGGAAGAAAACCCGCTGGGTTGTTCATCCTGTCACTTGTACCCAGACACAGCTGGGACTTGCTTAACTGTCTCAAGTGAACAGCTCCTCAAACAAGAAGGTTAAGATCTGTCAACCCATAAAAACTTACGTTATCTTGCGGGTGCAAAATGGGGGAATATTTTAAGAACAGCATCAATATTTGACAGTGTTTTCCTAACTCAAACAATGTGGGGTTTATTATTCTACACATACTTCTAATGTCTCTCAGGTGTTCACATTCACGTAGATAGTGGTCAAGGCGGTGTCCGTCACTCTCATCACAGATTCTGCAACTTCGCTGATCAACTCTTGTTTGTTGTTTCCATGCCGAATCTCCATGGATATTTGTGCCCAGTCAATCTTCACCGGGTTGATACAGGGCGAGTGTATGTGTGTGTGTGTGTGTGTGTGTGTGTGTGTGTGTGTGTGTGTGTGTGTGTGTGTGCGTGCGTGTGTGTGTGTCTAATATGTCTAATATGATCAACTAGTGACCAGTCGCATAATGTAGCCTACAACAGCTGTCTAACTTCCCAGGTATCCATTTACTGCTAGGTAACCAGAGGTATCATAAGAAAGAAATACGGCCCAAGCGCTTCCGTCCTGCAGCTCTCTCTCTCTCTGGGAAGATCATGTCAGGTGATACACGGAGGAAAGACAAACTAGCCAGGTAAGTCTAGTGGTGACTTTTAGATTTCTAATTTAAAGTTTTAAACTTGGTCGGAACTTATATTTCCCGCGAGAGTCCAAATCCTTTCCTATTACTGCAAATATTACACATTCTTTCCTGTTGGGTGTTGGTGGGTGGGTGTGGTGGTGGGTGTGGTGGTGGGTGTGGTGGTGGTGTGGTGGTGGTGGGTGTGGTGGTGGTGTTGGTGGGTGGGTGTGGTGGTGGTGTTGGTGGTGTTAGTGGTGTTGGTGGGTGTGGTGGTGGGTGTGGTGGTGGGTGTGGTGGTGGGTGTGGTGGTGGGTGTGGTGGTGGTGTAGTGGTGGTGGGTGTGGTGGTGGTGTTGGTGGGTGGGTGTGGTGGTGGTGTTGGTGGTGTTAGTGGTGTTGGTGGGTGTGGTGGTGGTGGTGGTGGTGTTGGTGGTGTTGGTGGGTGTGGTGTTGGTGGTGTTGGTGGTGTTGGTGGGTGTGGTGGTGGGTGTGGTGGTGGGTGTGACGGTGGGTGTGGTGGTGGTGGTGGGTGTGGTGGGTGGGTGTGGTGGTGGGTGTGGTGGTGGGGGTGTGGTGGTGGTGGGTGTGGTGGTGGTGGGTGTGACGGTGGGTGTGGTGGTGGTGGTGGGTGTGGTGGTGGTGGGGTGGGGTGTGGTGGTGGTGGGTGTGGTGGTGGTGGGTGGGTGTGGTGGGTGGGTGTGGTGGTGGGTGTGGTGGTGGTGGGTGGGTGCGGTGGTGGTGGGTGTGGTGGTGGTGGTGGGTGGGTGTGTGTGGTGGTGGGTGTGGTGGTGGTGGGTGTGGTGGTGGTGGTGGGTGGGTGTGGTGGTGGTGGTGGGTGGGTGGGGTGGTGGGTGTGTGGGTGGTGGGTTGGTGGTGGTGGGTGGGTGTGGTGGTGGGTGTGGTGGTGGTGGTGGTGGGTGTGTGTGGTGGTGGGTGTGGTGGTGGTGGGTGTGGTGTTGGTAGTGGGTGTTATAAATACTTAAATATAGTATATGCTATATATAGTATACATATATTTATATACTTACATATATTTACTAAAGCCATTGGCCCTGGTGGCACCCATAATGGCCCTGGTGGCACCCATAATGACCCTGGTGGCACCCATAATGGCCCTGGTGGCACCCATAATGGCCCTGGTGGCACCCACAATGACCCTGGTGGCACCCACAATGGCCCTGGTGGCACCCACAATGGCCCTGGTGGCACCCACAATGGCCCTGGTGGCACCCACAATGGCCCTGGTGGCACCCACAATGGCCCTGGTGGCACCCACAATGGCCCTGGTGGCACCCACAATGGCCCTGGTGGCACCCACAATGGCCCTGGTGGCACCCACAATGATCCTGGTGGCACCCACAATGACCCTGGTGGCACCCACAATGACCCTGGTGGCACCCACAATGGCCCTGGTGGCACCCACAATGACCCTGGTGGCACCCATAATGGCCCTGGTGGTACCCACAATGATCCTGGTGGCACCCACAATGACCCTGGTGGCACCCACAATGACCCTGGTGGCACCCACAATGACCCTGGTGGCACCCACAATGACCCTGGTGGCACCCACAATGACCCTGGTGGCACCCACAATGACCCTGGTGGCACCCATAATGACCCTGGTGGCACCCATAATGACCCTAGTGGCACCCATAATGACCCTGGTGGCACCCATAATGACCCTAGTGGCACCCACAATGACCCTAATGGCACCCATAATGACCCTAGTGGCACCCACAATGACCCTAATGGCACCCATAATGACCCTGGTGGCACCCACAATGACCCTAGTGGCACCCATAATGACCCTAATGGCACCAGTAATCGGCAATAGATCAACAATGGATGTGTAATTCAAAGGGGGGGACTTAAACACTGGTGAAAAAGTGTTAGTGGGGGGAGGGGGAGTGCAAAAGTGGGGCGGTGGGGGGGGGGGGATTAGTGGCGTGAGACAAAGGGGAGATAGTGGGGGGGGGATGAGGGGGCAGGAACACGGCGGCTGAGGGGATGAGAGGGGACGGCTCCTAATTAAATAAGAATTAAAGGATAGGAAAACACTAGTTGGGAGTTGTGGTGAAAGTGGTGAGGACAGTGACGGGTGAGGACAGTGACGGGTGAGGACAGTGAGGGGTGAGGACAGTGAGGGGTGAGGACAGTGAGGGGTGAGGACAGTGAGGGGTGAGGACAGTGAGGGGTGAGGACAGTGAGGGGTGAGGACAGTGAGGGGTGAGGACAGTGACGGGTGAGGACAGTGAGGGGTGAGGACAGTGAGGGGTGAGGACAGTGAGGGGTGAGGACAGTGACGGGTGAGGACAGTGAGGGGTGAGGACAGTGAGGGGTGAGGACAGTGAGGGGTGAGGACAGTGAGGGGTGAGGACAGTGAGGGGTGAGGACAGTGACGGGTGAGGACAGTGAGGGGTGAGGACAGTTAATGGTGAGGACAGTGAGGGGTGAGGACAGTGACGGGTGAGGACAGTGAGGGGTGAGGACAGTGACGGGTGAGGACAGTGAGGGGTGAGGACAGTGACGGGTGAGGACAGTTACGGGTGAGGACAGTGAGGGGTGAGGACAGTGACGGGTGAGGACAGTGACGGGTGAGGACAGTGACGGGTGAGGACAGTGAGGGGTGAGGACAGTGAGGGGTGAGGACAGTGAGGGGTGAGGACAGTGACGGGTGAGGACAGTGACGGGTGAGGACAGTGACGGGTGAGGACAGTGACGGGTGAGGACAGTGAGGGGTGAGGACAGTGAGGGGTGAGGACAGTTACGGGTGAGGACAGTGACGGGTGAGGACAGTGACGGGTGAGGACAGTGAGGGGTGAGGACAGTGAGGGGTGAGGACAGTGAGGGGTGAGGACAGTGAGGGGTGAGGACAGTGACGGGTGAGGACAGTGAGGGGTGAGGACAGTTACGGGTGAGGACAGTGAGGGGTGAGGACAGTGACGGGTGAGGACAGTGAGGGGTGAGGACAGTGACGGGTGAGGACAGTGAGGGGTGAGGACAGTGACGGGTGAGGACAGTGAGGGGTGAGGACAGTGAGGGGTGAGGACAGTGACGGGTGAGGACAGTGACGGGTGAGGACAGTGACGGGTGAGGACAGTGAGGGGTGAGGACAGTGAGGGGTGAGGACAGTGAGGGGTGAGGACAGTGACGGGTGAGGACAGTGACGGGTGAGGACAGTGAGGGGTGAGGACAGTGAGGGGTGAGGACAGTGACGGGTGAGGACAGTGACGGGTGAGGACAGTGAGGGGTGAGGACAGTGAGGGGTGAGGACAGTTACGGGTGAGGACAGTGAGGGGTGAGGACTGTGAGGGGTGAGGACAGTGACGGGTGAGGACAGTGACGGGTGAGGACAGTGACGGGTGAGGACAGTGACGGGTGAGTGTCCTCATCAGCCGCGGGACAGGTGTGAGGTAGGGCCATCAGATTGTGCAGGAAATAAGATATCCAATCAGGTGAAAGAATGCCATTCAGGTCGCGGATGTAGAGTCTATTGTGCAGTCACAATAGACTCTACATCTGACTCTACTGCACAGTAGACAAGTCTACCGTCTACCCTCTTGTGCAGTCATCGCAGGAAGTGTGAATCGCAGCAGGTGCCCCTATGTATAGCCACTCCGTAACGAATACAACTGTTTCCCCTCAACAGGAAACGTAAAAAATGCAACTGTTTCTCGATCGTAAGACACCCGTTTAACCTATCGAGGTCGATGCATAGAAAACGTTAATATTTCGGTGCTTTCATTTTTTGTTAGTGCGTCGTATTTTTAACGTATTGGTCAATTCCGTAACAAAATGAGACGTATTAGGGGAGCGTGGCTCCTGGCAATCGTTTCTGTTGCTTATTTCCTTAACGACTTCCTTCAGTCCTTAACGACCTGCCTGTATCATTACACCTACGACCTTGGCAGCTTGGCTCTCTTATGTCCTAACAAGGTGCCTTACCCACCAACCACCTTGAGGTTACATTGAGGTGCTTCCGGGGCTTAGCGTCCCCGCGGCCCGGTCGTCGACCAGGCCTCCTGAAACCTGTACCACATACGAAACCTGTACATCTTTTCCCAATCATGGCGGTTGTGTTTACATTTATTAAACAGTTTAGGAGCTCCGGGGCACTACGAGGTTGTTTATATCATCAATAACCTCGGGTTGTGAAGTTTACAAGCTGGTAAACTGTTTATTAATAAGTCAAGAGTTGTAAACTGTCTCCATAGTTGGTGAGGGAGAGTAGAGATGGTGTCGTCAGTGGCTGAGTAAAAAGTCGATGAGTTGATGAGTTGACCAAGTTCTCCTGCACCTGTCTCACCTTCCTCACCTCCATCTACATCACTGATGAGCGCCTTCTACATCACCTCCCGCCCTCTACATCACTGATGAGTGCCCTCTACAGTGGGTGATGCTATCCGCCCAAGCTCCTCCAACCTGTTGATTCACTTTCTTCCCAGCGACCACCCAGCCCTGCCCAACACCCAGCCTCCCCAGCCCTCAGCTCTGCCCAACACCCAGCCCTCCCCAACACCCAGCCCTCAGCCCTGCCTAACACCCAGCCTTCTCCAGAACTTGCCTCTCACCAACCCACACAATCCCCTTGATTGCTCTCAAGCGATTTTTCCCCCCAGCGGGGTATTGTTTCCCCCCTCCACCACCTCCCAACCCACCCTGCAACCCACTCCACACCCCTGCAACCACCCCCTTCCTTGCAACCCCTCCCCCCTTACCACACTTCCTTACACATCCTGGGGCTTAACCATCCTACTTGCTCCGGTGGTCCCAGGCAGGTCCCACAGGCGTATGAAAGGTCCCTGAGCTAGTGGGAGGGTGTTGCAGGCCAGTGGTCCCACGGGGTGTGGGGGGGTGTTGGGGGGGAAGCAGACAAATGGTCCCAAAGGGAGGGGGGGGGCGGGAGAGCCCTTCGTCAAGACTCAGCACCTGTGTAATACCGTGATAGGCTGTCAATAGCGGGACTCGAGGAGGTAATCGCTTGTTGTGGCCGCGACATGAGAGGAGGAGGGAAGAGAGGAGGGTACACAAAGGAGGGAGAAGCAGAAGAGAGAAGGAGGAAAAAATGTGAAATATAAGAGAAAACACTGAAAATACGGAACCATGAATAAAAGTATACACAAGGTCGGTAGTGAAGGGAAAAAGGAGGTATAGGATAGACGAAAAATTAGATGTAGAGAAGGAGAAAGTGTAGAGGTAAGAGGAGTGTGTAAGAGGAAAGAGGAGGGAAGGATGGAGAGGGTGGACCAAAAGAGAGGGGGCAGCAGAACGGGAGAGAAAAGAATGGAGTGAAAAGATTAAGGTCGATCGCCAACTGAAGGGAAGACGAGGGGGAATACTGAAGAGCAGTGAGGGGGCTTGTGTCTGGGGTGTGTGAGAGGTGTGTCTGGGGTGTGTGTGGGGGGGTGTCTGGGGTGTGTGGGGGGTGTCTGGGGTGTGTGAGAGGTGTGTCTGGGGTGTGTGGGGTGTGAGGGTGTGTGTCTGGGGGTGTGTCTGGGGTGTGAGGGGGCTTGTGACTGGGGTCTGTGAGGGGGTGTGTCTGGAGTGTGTGGGAAGAGAGTGTCTGGGATGTGAGTGGGTGTATCTGGGGTGTGAGGGGTGTGTGTGAGAGGTGAGAGTGTCTGGGGTGACAGAGAAACAAGGGGGGTGGGGGGAGTCGTACTATTGTTGTGAGTGGACCATTGTCGTCACCTTCAATATGGATTACTTCTACTTTAATAACCTAAAAATTACAGGGCAGGATATTATGTACTGTGGCCTCAAGGATGACAAAGTGTTATTGATGTGTGTGTGTGTGTGTGTGTGTGTGTGTGTGTGTGTGTGTGTGTGTGTGTGTGTGTGTGGGTGGGTGTGTGTGTGTGTGTGTGTGTGTGTGTGTGTGTGTGACACTATCCTACCCCAGTCTGCCCAAAGTCAGACCTTTTTTATTTCTTTAAGAATGCAATTAATTATTAAATTGTGCGATATACAATGTTATGTGTTTAAACCTCAATAATTTTTATGGCAAAAAAAAACAGATATCGTTCAACAAGAAGATAACATGCGTCTGACCACCGCGATCCTTTCATCACGTGACACTGCTAAGCCAATGAGGGAAGGGGGGGGGGGGACATTAAGGCTAGCCAGGATTGGTTGCAACGTGAAAAATCAACTAATCAGCAAAGAGGTCGGTGACATAGAACGTGAGCCAATGCATTTAATTGGCTCTTGGGAAATCACATAATATCCAGTCATGGTGACGAAGATCGAACCCATTCTCAGGTTCCTTTGTTGATGGCTCGTCTGCCCCTGTTGGGTGAAGAGGAAGCATCGTGGTTCTCAACTTATAGAGATCTTCCTCAAGCCGGCAATTAGGGGAATGTTGTTTTTTTCAACGTTGTGGTATAGACTCTGTAGAGGAAGGGAAGACTCGCTTCTTGCTTGACTCAAGCGAGCCTGTGTGTCGCTGCATCTGAGTACTCACTCAATTGTGCTTGCGGGGGTTGAGCTTTGGCTCTTTGGTCCCGAAAGTGTGTATACATGAATGTATAATAATATGTAAAGTGAGTGTGGATACATGAATGCTATGTATCATTCATCTATACACACCCAAATATCCTGAAATACAGGTGAAAAGTCTTACAAACACTCGCACCTCGCTGGTAAAAGCGAGCAAGCTTAGCCATCAAGCACACGCACACGCCGTGACAGCAAGGCGGACAGCCCGCCTGCTATCATAAGTTACGCTATCTTAGCGTGTGTTTGTTTTGCGTGCAGGTGTTCGCATATTAGCGTTTTGCAACCCAATTACAATGTTTTCAGAGGGAGGTTCCCAGACCCGTCTGGCAAAACTTA